GAAAGTCTCCCAGACTTAAAGGTGAGCATGTGAACTATCAGTCAAAACTCTGGTTACTGGTAAGTAGCGTCTAATATTTTTCAGTATGTGTGATGTGTCTGGACACATCATATAACCATATCAGAAAATAACTTACTTTGCAGACAGATAAACATGTTGAAGGAGATGGCATTTTCCTAAAACAACAGGTTAACACAGGGTATAATCTATAGCTGAGATGCACATTGCAATTGAGAAGTGGAAAGTTGTCTTTTGAAGTACCTGTTCTTTCTCTGTCTTAACCTAGCTTTTTGTTGGGTAAAATAGTGTAGTAGAGATTTTGACACCAACTTTAAATTTTCGTGGGTGCTGTTGTCTCTCAGAGGTTGCTGTCTGCTGGGGATCAAGGTAAGTCCTATCTATGCTGCTGTTGTCAGCTTTTGTTGTCAACAGAGGAGCTTTCACCAGAAATCCTTTCAAAGGTGGTACATTTAGCACCAGTACTTCGCTGTAATAAAACTTCAGCAGATCCTGCCTTTGAATAGAGTTCCAGTAGGTCCCTCCTTTGAATTGGAATCTTTTTCTTGTAAACATACAACAGAACATATTTCAGAACATGGCTGCTCTTAAATACTCTAGCAAAATCTTAAGATCTCATGTTAACTTTTCATGATCTGTTAAGTACATGTAACTGAAATTAAATGCGGATCGATGGGGTGTTTTTCCCCTGTGATTGTGCCTCTGTATAAAACATAAAGAATCCTGAATTGGCTTCTGTTTCTTCATTGGTAAATGGGTTTTTAATAGATTCAGGTTCTTGTTCTGTGATCTAACATTAGGGAATGTCTCTTTAAGCACCAATAAGTGTTCTTTCGTTTGTGTCTGCTAGGGAAAGCAGAAACACTGTGTCCAAATGGAGGATAGAAGAGGTAAATAAAAAAAACACCATCATCATGAGAAGGGTAGTATCTGCATTTTCCTTTGCAAACAGGTACCTGTAAAATCGATCCATTCTTTGAACCTGTTTGCTTTTCAAAACCTGTTGTAAGCACTGGTGATGTTAGAACCGGTGAGTCTTAATGATTTCTCAGTTCTTGTACCTCTCTGTTAGCGTCTTGTTAAGGTTTGAATTTAGTAGATTATCGCCAGTATTCATCTGCCTCCTCCCCCCTTCAGTGAAAAATAAAACTTGTTTCACTGCAGTTTGGATGTTCTGATGTGTATTTGGCCTTGCGTTATTAGTGGGCCTAAGAGCCTTCCACTGTGATAGGTGAAGCCTCTTTCAGGTGATGCTGATTTTTTTATTTCTTTTTTTGTAAGAAATTAAAACTCATTTATAATTCATATGGCAGCACCCTAAGTTAGTTTTGGCAGTGCAGATTTTAATTAGGTGGGAGAAGACTTTGGTTCTCTTTTCTCCATTATTACTACTTTATGTGTCTCAGGAAAATGTTTGCTTCTTATCCACATACAATAGTGCAAGAGGTTTCAACTGTTTCAAGCTCTAAGTTACCTATTTGGTTGGTGGAGAGGCATTGTTTGTTGGTTTTGGGTTTGGTATTGTCTCTGCTTTCCCCAGGTTGGGTGTGAATCCCTTGCAGTAAAGTTGCTGGGAACAGGCTATGTTTTCTTTGCTGTGTTTTATGAGTTCTTTTAGAAACAGTTTGTGCCCTTTCCCTTTCAGTGTATGGCACTGAGGTTCAAAAGTGTTGTTTTGGTTTGCTTATTATCAGAAGACTTGCCTCAGACTGTTTTTATTTTTGACATCCTTAAATTAGCATCATTAGCAAAGGAAACTGTTAGAGATGTTTCCTGGGATGATATTGAGAGTTTTAGGTACACAGTAAAGTTTCCCAAACATCATATGAAGTTACATTACTTTTATGTAAAAAGGAGTAACTAAAGCCAGTTCGTTTGCCTCAGAAACTTAATAGGAGATGAAACCATTAAACAGTGCTTAGCAAAATATTTTGTGAAGGGAGTAAATTATCTTTGAATGCCTGTAGCCTCTCTGTAGTGAGAAGATTGTACATCAAGTACCTTTTTCATGTTTACCTTATACGAGTGAGTGAAAACTTTGAAAAGGTGCAGGAAACCAAGTGAGGAGCAAAAAATGGAGGAATTAGCAAAGGTGTCTCTCTCTTTCAGGTCACCATATAGATGGAGAGGCCATACAGCAAACCTGTTCTGTTCACTGTCTCTGAATGGAGCATATTAAAATACATCATTTAGTTTTCAGTATTAATATTTGAATACATGTGGTCTTTTAGCCAATATACCTTAAGGTTAGTTTTATAAACATTTTAAGATGATCATTATATTCCTTCATATCTAGTTCCTGTTTCTTTTCAAAGAATAGCATACTGAAGATCAAGTTGAAATAAAGGTAAGAATTAATAATAGTTTTGGCCAGTTTTCACATGATATTTGAAAAAGGGCTTTTGCCTGTACAGTTTCATAAAGAAAGTGATGCAATTGCTTAAGTATTTGTGTAGTATGTATTCCTCGTGAGTAAAGAAAGCTTTTATACTGAATTTGGTAATAAATCTGTGTGCTTGAAAGCCAGCTTTTTTTATAGTTGTCAACCTAAGAAAATCAACAGTGAAAGTACAAATGCAATACAGAAATCAAAAGCTTTCAAATACAGCACATGAACAAAATTTAGCAGTTTCAAATAGCAGTGATCTTAAATCAGTCTGTTCTGGATGGCATAAATTGAATTAACCAAATGTTGAAGTTTTTCAAGGTTTTACACAGCTGTTGCTGTCTTGTCATAGTGTTGTGCATCAAAATAGAAATGAACTCCCCCACCTGATTTCTCTGCCCAAAATAGCAATAATAAGGTGAGATAATCTCTTGAAGACTCTAGGCCATATTACGTTGCAGACTGATGAAGAAGCAGCTATATACACTAACAGCTAAAACCCGACAGGGTTATTCATTCTGGCCCTGGAGCCAGCTGGCCCTGGATGAGTGTCTGACCTTCCAGACCAAAATGAACATGTCTTAACTGCCTTCTGAGTCTCAGGTCTGTGCTGATACCTGAAATGTGTTTGGGAGCAGCCTGGATGAATGTTAGGTATCCTGGGTCAGTGCTGCTCTCTGATGGGGAGATGGTGGAGTCCTTCGGCACCACTTCCCTTTGGAGTGTGGATATGGCCTCAACGTCCTATGCTGAGAGGGAAGCCAGGAGGGGAATGAATATTGCTGCTGCCTAGAGTTGCTGCCTAAAGTCGCTGCCTGTCTTCTCTGTCTCATGGTCACCTTTTCAGATGCCAGTTGATATAGCTGCAGAATAATTTATCTCCCCATCACCAAAAAGTTGAATTAATTTCTTTGCACACTTTATAAAATGGTAAGATAGTTGCTGTTTCAGGGACAGGATATGCACAGGAGACCTGGAAGGATTTGTTACCTTAGGCCTTCTTACTCTCCAAACTGGTGCTTCAGCTTGCCCACAGTGAGGATCGAGGCCTGCAAATAAACAAGAAAAGGCTCAAATGCTAAACGTCCTTTTCAGTGCAGAATCCATGAGAAATCGATAACTGATAAGCATTTGATCAGATACAAAAGTTTATTACAATCTAATTCTGTTAGCTGGAACTTGTAAAAAAAAATTCTAAAATATCCAAGATTTTAGGACAGAGATACATAAATGGTCTGGTAAAATTAGGTCTTATCTGATCCTATCAAGTAAAAGCTGTATGTAGGAGCTTACACTTCAGTTGAATTTGTAGAGGTGCCCTTAATATTGTTACACTTCCATGAGAGAAATTGATATTTAACTGTTTCTTTTTTTTTTTTTTTAATTGAATTATATGTAAACCTGCGTCTTACATTATTGGTGAAACAATTTAATCTTCTGAATCTTTTGCTGAGTTTATTTTAGTAAATCTCACAAAGTTTTTCCAAGGTATTATGTATTCAGGTAAAAAAATGCTACTAGAATTACTGAAATTTTATTACTCTTAGTGTGATTTAACAGCTGGGAACAATGGGAGAGGCCGTGTAGGGCTTTGAGGCTGGTGGTTATCTTGAACCACAGTTGTTACAACTTTGGTTTAAGATGTTAACAAGCTTATTTTGACAATTGAAAGAATTTGGATTCTGGATGGAAAGATAAACTGAGGGGAAAAAGAAACTTACCTTTTTCTTCTTTAGGGTGGAAATAGTATATGAGGTTACTGCTTCATACTTAGTGTATGAAATACACACATAGGAGTATTTGGAGAGCTATGTATGTGAGGGCCTACTTAAATGTTGCATTAAGTGCATTATTAGCCAGCCTTGCACTCAACTTGTATAAGAAAGTTGATTTCCTAGGTACAGATAAAAATGTAAAAAAGGAAAAAAAGGACAAAGAAAATAAAAAACCCAACAAAAAACCCTACCACAAAAAAACAACTACCATACTGAATTTTGTAGGAAAAGATAGTGAAAATGGTAAAGTAGGTTTTGCCCAGTGCTCTTGCTGTTGTAAAGTTGATCTGGTCGTGTTTTAAGCCCCCCCCCTCCAGTCCTGTCGTGTCGTTCCCCCCCCCCAAAAAAAGGCATTTGCAACTGAATTTTTCTGAGCCATACATATATAATTTTTGTACTGGCTTGAATATAAGTGATTTCAGAACAAAGGTGTTCTCCAGTTTTTCAGCTTAAAAAGAAAATATGACAGAAGTATGCAAGAGACAAGCTTGCATTCACCTCTGCACGACCCAACACCCTGCGATATCTGTACAGCTCTTTTTGTTGTGCGTTTTTGCAATGTGATGCTCTCTTCCTGTGCAGTCATGTAATTATTTGTATGAATGTGTAATCACTAAGCATGAGATCCCTTTGCAAGTAGGATCTACTCTGATTGGTTTTCTGTGTCCTGAAAGCCAGCTCTGTCTGTGGGGCTGCTTGCGTCCTGCTCTGTAAGAGCAGTTATGGTTATGTTCCTGGCTGGCCACCTGAGTGGCACTGGCTGCTCTGAGCTACTTTCTTCTGAAGTTGACAGGCTGTACTCATCTATCCTGTATTGCACCTCCTGTGAATGAATGTTTCTGTTTCTTTTAAGTTTGGAGTATTTGAAATAGCCTACATGGGTGATGGTTTTACTGCGTGAAATCGAGGATTGTCTGGTGAACGGTATGAGGATGTGTTCTTTGAGAGTGAAGCCTGTTGAGAAGTGGGTAGGACAGAGGGAGTCTTAACCCACTGGTGTTTGGGAACAGCTTCTAGAATGAATCTCAAATCTGTGCCCAGGGTTTGTCTGCAGAAAAGCTGTTTGGAGTAGTGCATGTGGCCACTGGTCCTCCATGTGTAGTAGCAGGTTAGATGTACGCAGGCGGTGCAAATGACCAGAAAGAGCTGGCATTCCATTATAGGCATACTGACCTGGTAAGCTGCTCTGCCTTGTCAGACTCTTGCAGAGCTGGTGCTGGAGCTTCACTTAAAGCAGGTTATGGAGCCATCGGCTCCTAGAGCTGCTGCTGCCTGCTCAGGGCGTAGAGCACAGCACCAACAAATGTTTCTCATGATTTTAAGAGACCATGTGGTAAATGTGCAGCTAAGCAGAGGCTTTTTGTTTTTTTTTTTCTTCTTCCTCAGAAAGCATGTATTATTTAGAAATTACATTGAGCCTGTACAGCACATAAAATGCATGTGGACACCATGTTGTACCTGTGCAATCATTAATGATGTGTTTTACCATTCAGTGATTTTCCTTTGTCTCGCTTAACAGACTTGCATGACACTTGTATAGAAAAATGCACATCTTTTCCTTAAGAAACAGGCAAGAATATCACTTAATGTCTTTTACATTTTGACTTTAAATTGCATTTACTGTCAGATGAGTTCTTGTCTTATAAACTTGTCAGACCTCTCCTTGAACATCGTTTTGTAGTTAATTTCTTTGTGAAAATACAGAGAAAGCATACTGGGCTTCTGAAATCTGACGGTAATATTTGCAGATATTACTCTAAAGGATGAACCATTTCCTCCAGCTTAAAATATTAAGCCAGCATTGCTTCAGCTTGCTTTGCAAGGCTTAACTATATCTGCAGTTATGTAAGTTTCAGTTATGTGATATTTCATGGGCATCTATTTAAACATACAACTATTATTTTTAGTTGAAATATAGACTATATAAAGACTTAAAAGATGTGGGATCAAGGTGGACAACCTTGGCAGCAATGGCCTTTGAACCAACAGCAGTGGATGCAGTCATTTCAGCACCAGCAAGATCCAAGTAAGTATATGGAAAGCTTTGTGGATTCTTTTATTTTTCCTGTTGTCAGTTGAATTTTTGAATCTTTGTTCAGAGCATGACTGATAGTTGCTTTTTTTTTTGTAGCTGCTCCCAAGATAATACATTTATAATGTTTTTCTAAAGAACTAGAAAAATAGCGTCAGTTCCAAATGTTTTGACATAGTTACTATTTAATATGCAAAGTACAGACAAGCAACCTAAGTTATCCTGGACAAATTATCAGTGTTTTACCAATCGTACCAATTAACATTTAGACCTTACGTACTTTTACAGAATCTGTCCCTGTGAGTTACAGAATCTGTATTTCTGCCAGTTCTATAGCCAAGATGAATCATTTATTTGAGGAAATCTGCTTTTTATTCAGCGCTTGTGTGGCAGAAATACTAATGCAAGTTTATACACAGAAAAACTCTCACTGGAAGATTGGTATGGTATTTTAGGTTACAGCAGTGATGATCATGATCTCTTGTTTGGATTTCTTTCCCCCACCAAAAAAATAAACCCACCAAAGCAATAAACCTGAAACTGAGAGTGAGGTGACAGCAATTCAAAGCATCAAGAGAAATATAGGAATAGATAAAAGAAAGCGAAGGTGTGTATTTGGTAATCTGGGTGATTGGGCACACTGGTTTTACATTGCTTTCTGTCACTTCAGTTTCTTTAACTTCACTAGAGAGACTTCCTGATTTGATAATGAGCAGAATACACAGAGTAGTGTCCTCATCTGAGAGTGCCGCTTACTTACTGGAAGAAATGGTAGTAAAGAAAAAAAGGGGGAGAGAAATATGCATTCCAGAAATAGGGGATTATACAAAGACTATACCTTGCAAAATGTAGTTTTATAACTATGCATCTTTCTTAGACTTGAGTTTAGAAATTAAGGCTATATATATATTTCTGATACCAAATTAGATCACTTAGGTAAAAAATGTATTGCTACCACCCATACAGTGCTAATGTGAACCTAAAATAATCTCCCTTACGGCATTTTGAATATATGCAGGTAAACGCTACTTCAGCAAGTATGTACACTGACATTTGCTTTCAGTTTGTTTTACTCTACACTGTATGTTTTAATGGTGCTTATGGTACTTGCTGAAGGTAAACGTTGACCTCTTGAGCAGTGATACATGTAATTGAGAAACATTTAAACTTCAGACATGTGAATACTAACCTTTTATATTTCCTCTGTTTTAGGCCAGATTGACTGGGCTGCATTAGCTCAAGCATGGATTGCTCAGCGAGAAGCCTCAGGGCAACAGAGTGTAGTGGAACAACAAGGAATGATGCCAAACGGACAGGATATTTCAGGAATAGAATCTGGTCCAAACAACCATAATAATTTTCAGGGGGATCCCAACTTCAACAGAATGTGGCAGCCAGGTTTGTCTTCCTTCCCATGCATTCATTTTCATTTTTATTTAATATATAATGAAATTTTAGTTTTGTCAGACATTTTTGGGTGTGAATATGCCCTGTCCCTCAGGTTTCAAGATGCAAAACTACCAGTAGCATTGTAACTGAGTATCACAGCTGCTACTACCCAGTCAAGTGTTCCACAAAACGTGTAACAGTGCAGACACAAAGGTCTGATAACACAATTTAATAATCTCTATGTAAAATAAATCATGTTTGTAATATACATACGCAAAAGATTTGTTCTGTCCTGTTGTAGAAAGATAATGGCAATTCACACTATCTGTTTCCCTGGGTTCTTATTCTTACATCTTTTTTTGTTTTGCTTATCCCACTGCCCTAGGAACAGCAGCACTGAATGCAGCAGGGTGCCTCAGAATTAAAGAGCATATGCTGCCCTCTCCTGTAGTGTAATACCTGCTTCTTGTGTAATCTTGACGTGTAGAATGAGGTCAAAATATAGCTTGTAGATCCTGGGTTTGGGCGTCTTAAAACGCTGAAAAATGAGATGAGCAAAATTTCATCTGTAAAATACGTTTTCATGCATTGGAATGGGCTTCCCAGGGAAGTAGTGGAATCAGTGGAACCATGTAGATGAGGCACTTAGTGACATGGTTTAGTGGTGGACTTGGCAGTCATGGGGTAATGGTTGGTCTTGATGATCTTAAAAGGCCTTTTCTGACCTAGTTGTTTCTGTGATTCTCAGTTTCATATACTTAGTACATTTTTTGCTTATGTATCTGATTGTCATCTGCATAATTTTTTAGTTACAAGTTGATTGAACATTTCTGTTAATGTGAGTTATTTCAGTTCTTTATAAATTCCTCAAAACTTCAGTTTTGGCCAAAAAATCATTTTCTTTTTAAAACTTCATAAAGTAACACTGGCAATAAGCATGGGGTAGAGATTGGTATTTTCTGCTGAAATTTTTCTGAAGTTGTTTTCTGAAAGGTTTGTTACTTCACCATTCTCTAATGCAATTGGAAATGCATGAGCAAGGTGGTTAGTAAGCCTGTATGCATGCTTTCTGTCTTCTTGGTGAAAACTGCACTTCATGCCTGTTTCTGTTAATGATTGAAAGAGTAACACCTCCAGTTTTGACTGTGACTATTCACATTTGTTTTATTGCAGTGCTTCATAGAAGTAGGCTGAAAATGTCCTTGGCAGTTCTTAGGTATGCTTTGCAAAAGGGAGGTAGCCATCAGGTTTTGCATAAGTTTCACCTGCCTGCTCTGGGCTCTAAGTTATTGTAGCCATATGTAAGAATTTGAACTTCACTATGTGGCAGTACACAGAGTGTATTCTAGCAGTATTTCTATATAAGTAAGTAGAGGTTTTCACAGAAATACTGTGTCATTATTGGACAACTTTGTTTTTCATATGATCCTGTGGTGTGAGTATGCTCACATAAAGCATATTCATCCTATGCTTTGCCGTCTCTAAGGTGAAAGAGAATAACATCTTAAATGGTATCTTTTGCAAACAGTCACAGACCGGTAAAAGTGAGGAAGACATTTTTACTGATAATCATAAATGCTTGGTGCCCAAGCTCACACAGAAAATGCAAACAGGAAAACAGCCTAGGTCTAGGAGTGAGAAGAATGTAACATGTTTTATTGACAGGAAACAATGTGCCAATGCATTTTGTTATGATTGGATGTATCATTCAAAGGATATGCTGTTTTCCCAGGTTTTTGGGATGCTGATAAAAGACCATGCTGATGAAGATATGACCTAGCTTCCTTTAATTTAGCCAATGCTGTTCTCAGTGTGTAAAAGCAGACAAGCTGAATCGTAGCGTGCTACCCAAAGTTCTCTTCGCATATTTACTCTGTTTCTACAAAGCTTAATCTTTCTCCATATTCTTCCAGGTTTCTTTTTGGATCCAAAAGTCCTTTACATGCTATTAATAAAAAAAGCAAAATGGCACAAGTGAAAAGAGCACCTCTTGTATGCAACTTGCAAGCTTTCAAGTCAGTTGACTTGGTGTAAATTGAACATTTACATAGTGTCAAATGTTAACACATTTATTAACAATAATTCTTGTAAGATGTATTTAAAGGATAAAGGATTCTGTCTTTTAGAATACTCTAGGAGTATTTAGACTTATTTCCTAGGAAGACAAAGGTTATGGCCACATGACCTATTAATTCATTCCTTAGGCACATTTCGCTCTGTTAGCCAGCTGTAACTTATGTTTGAGGGCTTATGACTAGCTTATGCTAGGACCTCTGCTAGATGTTGGAGAATCCTGGGAATCACCCATTATCAAGACATAAGACTTTGGAAAACAGGTTTCAGTGGCTGTGCTCCTCAGAAAACCATTAGCTTTCCTTAATAGGTCTTCTAAGCCTGTTATGTGAAGGAATAAAATAGCTCATTACTTAGAAAGTTGAAGTAGAGAAGTAGGGTCACTTCTTCTACAGTTTATATGATTTATAAGTGCTATGGACTCAGTATCACTGGAAATATATAAAAAAGATGTACAGTGTGTCTGTGTACATCCAGTTCTGCCCCCAGCCCCTGGGTGTTAGTTCAGCTACAGCTATTTGTATTTCCTTCAGTTACTTGAAGAAATTGTTGAGACAGTATAGAACAGTCTGTAGATTAATGATTCTTCATAATTTCATCATCTGTGTTGCTTTGAGGAACCTTTTGAGAAGTACAAAAACATTGAGTGATTGGTGACTCATAAATTGTACTAACTTGGTATTGAATTACATTCTAAATCCTAAACAGAATGGGGAATGCCTCACCAGCCCCCTCACCCACCTCCAGATCAGCAGTGGATGACTCCAGCCCCAAGTCAAATGGAAATTGTTCCTCCGTCTGAAGACAGCAACAGTCAGGACAGTGGGGAGTTTGCTTCCGACAACAGGCATATGTTTAACCAGAACAATCACAACTTTGGGGGACCTCCCGATAACTTTTCAATGGGGCCAGTGAACCAGTTTGACTATCAGGTGAAACATATTTGTTGCTTTAATATTGTAGGCGCGCCGAGTCTCTTCCGTGGATGTGTTCCTCTAATATCATCTAGCGGCGACTTTCATTCTTCAGTTCTACAAACATCTGCAGAATCTGTTACCTGCTAAGATACATTTTTACCAAATACCTTGCAGAAGAGACTTCAGAGTTTTCAGTTCTGTTCTGAGGCGAAAGGGTTTTGGTTTTTTTCCTATACTAGTAATGAGAAATGGCTGTTGTCTGCAGTATTAAAACAAATCATCATGTTCCAGTATAGAAATTAACATTATGTAGTTTTGTGGTTAAAAAAAAAAAAAAAACAGTAAAAAAAACAGAGGAGGAAAAGGAAAAAAAAATCATCTCAGAAATATGTACTTAAAACCACTAGATAACTTACCATAGGGAACAGTCCTGTACTTGCAGGGAGATAGACTGAATGATCCATTGAGCTTCTTCATACCTATCTACTGTGATTCTTTGAATAAACAATGGTATTTCTAAAAAATCCACATACACTTTTTTTTCTTCATTCTGGCATATAAATTGCATAGCATAATAAATCTGTAGGTGGTTTTAGTGCTCATAATAGCAGAGGGCATTGCAAAAGTTTTTTGATCTTCTCCCTGTTTTCAGTATTTTTCTTCCAAAACTTTGATATAAAAGACCAGCGGTACCTGTTAGAACACCTACCTCCTGTTCATAAATAAACCCAAGTGAAGATGGGTAGAAATGAGTGTTTATCTTCTGGCCTACTTTATTATTAAATTCTCCTTTTCAGCAGTATTGTTAGGAAGTGAACCAGTAATTTTCAAGTACACTAGTTTATTATAATTTCCTTTGTTTACTATTATGAGATCAACTCTTAAAATTAATTTTTATAAATTCTACAGAAAACTTATTTTGCAGTGAATAACAGAAGGATGCTCGAACTGAAGTTGTAGTGGAAGAGTGTTTTTAGCACTAGTGACTTAAATATACAGTACAATGTAATAAAACCAGATTTGATGTTGTAACTCTCTTCCTAAATACTCTCTTCTTAAATAGTTTAATTAGGCATTTCTGGGCAGAAAATACTAAAGCAGTCCCATCCCCCCATCTTTGCTTCAAGACTTGTGACTTTTGTATTGTATACAGCTTCCTCGGTACCGAGGGTCTCTACTGTACTTGCATATTGATGCAGTTAATATGTTAATTGGCCATATTAGTAGCAGCCATGAAAGATTTCTGGAAAGTGCACAGTGCAAAACACTTTTGTAATAAAAGCTTGAACTTTCCATTTTTGTCCTCATATTGTAGTTACAGGGAAAGACTGCTCCCATAGCTAGACTTTTTAATTTTGTATACTCTTCATTTAACTGCATGCTCTGATGTTTAGCTGGTAAGGAACTGCTGGGATAGGTGGTGCTTGTTGGGCTTAATGTTTAGCACAGTATGAAAGGAGACTGGTTGAAGCCCTTTCAGCTTTGTTAGGATCCCTGCTTAAATCTAAGTTGACTCATTAAATATTTAAGGAAAACTTGTTTCTTGGGGACCACAGAAAGAGATTGAGAGCTCTTAGTAGCCTAGAAATCGTGGATTTCTACTTGCATGGATTTGCACACATGCTGTATTTAGTGTTACCATGTGAAGAAAAATAAACTGCATTACTCTTTCAGCATGGGGCTGCTTTTGGTCCACCTCAAGGTGGCTTTCATCCACCTTATTGGCAGCCAGGACCACCAGGGCCACCAGGTCCACCAGCACCTTCTGCACCTCCTCAAAATCGAAGGGAAAGACCCTCATTCAGAGATCGACAGCGTTCACCTATCGCGATGCCTGTGAAGCAGGAGCCTCCACAGATTGGTACATGTTAACCACTCCTTAATAGAAAAACATAAAATTTCGAAGACTTTTTTTTTTTTTACATATAAAGTACAAAGGAAGGGAAAGGCAAAGCTATTGTAAATGCTTTGTTTTTTTTTCTTTCCACAATCAGATGCGTGGCATTTTTGGATTGGGGTGAAGGGTTTATTTCTTTGGGTTTGTTTATTTTGTTTGGGTTTTTTTCTTCTTTTGTGGGAAGGGTTTGTTCATCTTACAGAACTGTAAACCTTGCTTATGCAGATGCTGTGAAACGTAGAACTCTGCCTGCCTGGATTCGTGAGGGCCTGGAAAAGATGGAACGAGAAAAACAGAAAAAGTTGGAAAAAGAGAGGATGGAACAGCAACGTTCACAGTTGTCTAAAAAAGAAAAAAAGGAAAGTGAGGAGGCTGGAGAAGGGGATGGCCCACGGTTACCTCAGAAAAGTAAATTTGTAAGTAGAAGTGTTTGCATTTTGCTCAGGTTTGTATTTCCTGAAAGGTATCAACTTCCTGGTCTCCTCAAAAAAGAGACTCTCTATTCCTGGTTCTCTTTGATTCTGTTGCTTGAAACTAAGGTTAGGCTGCTGCTTTGTCGATAGTTACTTGGTGTTTTGAAGTTGCTAATGTCTTAAAGATAAAAGTATATTATTTGATGTGTGTAGCAGAGAAGCAAGGATGAAATTGGGCTTTTTTCTTTTCTGTATTTTGGGAGCATGCGTGGTCTTTGAAGCAGCTGAACAAATTCAGATACCTGTATTTGTTAAACTGACCCCATTTAGGAAACCTGTTCACTTTAGCAGTTATCTCCGTTTTTAGCAGTTCTCAGTACCTCTCTGGCAGTGAACTGACAACTACGTGCTTTGTTACCTCCTGTGGGTAGAGAGGGAATTGCATGTTTACTGGGAGGGGAGAAGTAGAGTTTTATGATAACTGTAATACAGACTTCAGTACAAAGTAAATCAAGTTGACTATCGTCAATAGACACTAATGAGCTTGGCATCTAAGTTTTCCCTGAAATACATGATGCTGTTCTTGTAGGACAGTGATGAGGAAGATGAAGATGCTGAAAACACAGAAGCTGTAAGCGTTGGGAAAACCAGCAGGAGTCCATCCCCAGCTCCTCAAGAGGAGCAAAGCGAACCAGAAATGACAGAAGAGGAAAAGGAGTATCAAATGGTATTAATAATACAGTTCTCACTGAGTGTTTCTGTCTGTTTGCTTCTATTTTCCAGATATAGCAAAGTGAAAGACTTTTTCTCTCCCTGATGCTGTCAATAGAAGTATAGAGCACATACTGTAAAGCAGTTATACTTGCATGTCTGTATATTGCTGTCTTTTGCATATATACAAGGATATAGGTTACATAATTTATATTTAGCACAACAGTGAAATAATGTAATGACTGATCTTTACACACTGATCAGTATTAATTCTTTGGTTTTGCTTAATTTGCCAAATTTCTGAAAACTTTTTATAATCAGGTGGACGTGTCTGAAATCTATGCTTAAACCTCAGTTCCTGTGAAAGGGGGTTTAAAAAAATGTATTATTGAAAGAAAGTCCTAGATGAGCAACAATTTTTCTATGTCACCAGGAACTTAGAAACGTCATATTTTGAAATCAAAGTTGCATGCTAAGTGTACAACTGAAACCTTGTTAATTGAAAGCCCTGTATTTTTGCAAAGCACGTGGCCAGGCTGAGCAGCTTGGAGAGCTAGCTACCAACATTTTCAGTTTTTGTAGGAAATATGTCATAATGAAATCCTATATAAGTTGCCTCTGTGATTTTTGCAGGTTTGGGGTCAGCGAGACAGCATACCGTACTTAAATGTGCTCTTTATTCTTTTTTTGAAAGATAAATGGGATCAGTCCAAGTACATTTCTGATTTACATATTCATTTTATCATTTTTGACTTTAGGAATCAGTGGTGTATAATACACATGGATACAGTTCGCAGTCAAAATACAAACTGTTCTAAAATTTTTGAAGTCAGGTCAAATTTAAACAGTTTCAGACCTATGTTTTTAAATCGTATGTTCTGAGAAGTCATAAAATAACACAGGTAGGAGCGTATTTTAACAGCCATCAAAAGAAGGAAAGCTCTATGGACATAATTTGAACATTGTATTTATTCAAGGTGGTTTGGCCTTTAATTGTAAATACCATTTACTTCAGATGATGCTGACAAAAATGCTGCTGACAGAGATTCTCCTAGATGTCACAAATGAAGAAATCTATTATGTGGCCAAAGATGTTCACCGTAAAGCAACTAAAGGTATGCCAGCTCTTTTGGGTTTTTTGTTAGTTTCTTCAGTGAATATTCTATATTTGCATGTCTCTAGAACATTTAACCTCCATAGCTATTCCCCAAGAACAATTTTAGTATAATGCATCCAACTTGGTAGAGTTCAAATCCAGTAATCATGTACTGTCATCCTGTGCAGTGTATTGTGAGTTACTTCAGTTACTCCATTTCTTTCATACAGTTCATTTTAGATAAAATGGTACCTGTGTGTCAATGGCTCTTGAGTTGTAGCTGTTTCTTAATGCTATCATCTTTATCTCAAGTTCTTAGCTGTTCAGAAGGGAAAAGAGATAAGCGTTGAGTCCTCAATTAGTGATTAATTTCCTTTTCACTATTAACACATATTGTACTTGCGTAACATATTTCTTTAACATAACTGAGTAATCTAAACATGTAACTACTGAAACTTGAAAATGATGCGCAGATGCTGTAACTTGGAAAGTGGTTTATGAGTATATTTGTGTCTTTTTTTCTGTTCACTGTTAATTTGCAGTTAAATTCTAAACCTTCGTGGTCAGAAAATCTAGAAGTGGTTTTAAATGGATGATGCATTTTTAATGTTTCTTCTCTCCCTCCAAAGAACAGCAATAGTAGTAGATTTAACAATACCATAGACTCATGACTATGAAATCGTGGCTATTTGTGTTAACATGTTGTTCCTGTTGTTGATGTGATACAAAGCTCCTGCAAAACAGCTGGCACAGTCCAGTGCACTGGCTTCCCTCACTGGACTCGGTAAGTATGTTCCTTATTTTTGAGAGGGCTTAAAGGGGGAGTTTCACTCTTGCCTTGCATTTCTAGAATTGTGTTTTGAAACTAGATTTTCATTGCCCAGGAGTATGGGTCACTTTCTGATAACTTTATCAGCACTTTTGTTTGTTCCACAGGTAATCCTAATGATATAAGTGGGATGGTTTTTGGAGTAAAGGACTAGTCAGTGTGAGTTAGTGTGTGAGAATCTTGCCCTAATTTTGAAAATACATAAAAACTTCAGATAAATTTACTTCTCAAAGTATGATTGTTTCAGAAGCATACTGCAGTCTTTAGAGAGAGGAATACTGTTTGTATTTCTTTCCTATTTTGATCCATCCAAGCAGGAAGATAAAGCTGATAGATTAATATGAAAGTCTAGAAATAAAAATATTTTTTTTATTTTTGGTATTATTATTTCACTTAAAAACTACATAAGCACAGAGGCTCCCATATCATATATTACCAGAAACAACACAAGAAAAAGAGTTTGAAATCCCAGCTTGAGAAACAATAGCAAAAGATCTTTCCCAATATACTTTTTATCATCTAAGACTGTCAGTGTCAGTGACCAGTTATGTGTTCGTAACTTGGAATTCTGATTAATAGGGTTGAATGTTATCACAATTATTCACATGTTTTAAAACTAAGTCAATAAAGATTATAAGAACCTCAGCCTGAAAGAAAGTAAAATATCTCCATGTCAGCTGTTTAAATTGACTTTATCTTTCTTATCAGTCCAGTCATTATTAATATCTCTAGGGGAGAAGAAAGTCCATTTCTGTTCCATCTCCATACCTGTCAAAGTGCAGTGTTTTCTAAATCAATATAGGAAAATTGAAATGGCATTCAGAATTTCTGTAGCCTTGGACTGCGGAGGCGGCTGAAGTAATTTCAGAGGTGTCTTCTGGGAAAGGTCCCAGGCATTTTCTGTCCGGTTGCTGATACAGAGGCAGGCACTGTTACGATCTCCACAGAGAGCTTTTTTGCTCTTCCATGCAATGGAAAAAGTACCATGATCACAGTGGTTGCCTGCTGAAAATAAACATTCCAGAAGAAGTAGAACCAGACAGTGAGCATCAATGCAGATATGGGGGCCTTGATCACACCAGTCAAACACCATTGGCGCTTACCAGAATAAAGTGACTTCATCAGAGAAGAGGAAGTGAAGGAAGGGCAATGTTACTCTCCTCTTTGCCCCACAGAAATATTAGGAACAAAGCTTAATCTTTCCTCGTGATAGACTGGACTTTATGCACGCAGGTGGACTGGGTGGTTATGGATCAGGAGACAGTGAAGATGAGAGGAGTGACAGAGGCTCTGAATCATCTGATACTGATGATGAGGAATTACGACACAGAATCAGGCAAAAACAGGAAGCATTTTGGAGAAAAGAGAGAGAACAGCAACTACTACTAGAAAAACAGCTAGAAGGTAAATCATATCATGTCTTCTTACATATACTGCTTACATATACTGTTACTTACATACACAGATGCTACATATAGTGCTGTATGTGGAGTTTACTACTTTGAGAAAATACATTTTAAGCCAAAAAATATCAAAACAAATTTAGAAGTAATGTTCTTTAAAAGGTTTTCACAAAAAAAGATGGTTTGAGCTACTTGATCAAAATGGGGTTTGCTGCTTTTACTTGTAAGAAGAAAAAAAAATCCATGTAGTGTTTTCAATAAAATATTCTACTTCAGAGTTAAGGCATGGTGCATATCTATATGCTATAGATACTGTACTATAGTGTCGTGGTTTAACCCCAACCAGACAACTTGTTCACCCACTCCCCCCCTCTTCTTGCCCTCCCCCTACTCTCGGAGGGACGGAGAGGAGAATCAAAAAGAAATGCAACTCCCACGGGTTGAGATAAGAACAGTTTAGTAACTAAGGTATAACACAAATCACTACTGCTACCACCAATAATAGTAATAATAAAGGAAATAACAAGGGAAGAGAATACAACACCTCATCACCAGGCAACCAATAACGTGCCTTCCCAGCCCAACCAAGCAACGACCGATACCTCCTCCAACCCTGCAGTCCCCTAGCCCTTCCAGGTACCTCCCAGTTCCCCCCTGGGCATGACGTGCTGTGGTATGGAATACCTCTTTGGTCAGTTTGGGTCAGGTGTCCTGTCTCTGCTTCCTCCTGGCTTCCCCTCCTCCCTGGCAGAGCATGAGGCTCACAAAGTCCTTGGACAAACCAAAACATCATTTTTATCAGCTCTGTTCCCAGCCCGAAAGTCAAAACACAGCACTGCACCAGCTACCAAGAAAGAGAAAAATGACTGCTACTGCTAAAACCAGGACATATATAAATACTAGTATTGCTTTATAAAAATTAATGTGTGTATAATGTATTTAAAAAAAAATATTAGTATCTCAGTTGTGATTGGACTGCAAATTTCACCTTTATGCACCAGATTGCAGTTTGTATAAACTTCATTCCTCAAAGTTGTGTATACTTTTAAGTATATAAAGCATATTTTGCATCATCTGAAAAACATGCTTTTCTGCTACATAATGTAGTATTATTTACACCTATGGTGGTAGGCTGTAGCTTCTTCAAACTTGCTGTTCTCAGTTGTAGGAGAGGTTTGTTTCCACACGTTGGTTCTTCATAACTGGGGTTTTATACCTAATACTGGGGAAAGATAACCGAACCCTTTCAGTTCGCACTTAGCCTCTGGTAAGGTGGCAGGCTTGATTTTAAAATACAAGCCAAAACCAAACCTCTAATTTAATTCTTCTTCTCCATGCAAGGTAAGGTTTGTCCTTTTGTACCATTAATGTAGGTCAAAAGGGAATCACAGTCACCTTGCACTGCTGAAGAGCAGCGTAGATCAACACACAAATACAGTGGGCAGAAGTCATGAGCTAAGTTCATAAGCTGCAGAAGAAATAAAGTGCTATTACAATAGCATACTTATTTCAAGATGGATGACTTCCTCTTTTTATTTTAAAGGCCTAGAAATAAGACAAATGGATCTCTTAATAAAAGGTTGAACTAGCTAAACTTTTGGGTTCCTTAATATTTCTGTCTCTCTGAGTATTTTAAGATGTATGCATAACAGGATAGCTTTTTATGGAGAGTTTCTGAGCAGTGGCCTGTGACTGCTGTATTCCTAGTGCAGGAAGCCACATGTCACTCTGTGGACATCTCCGTTGGGCTATTTACAGAATTATAACTCTGGAGTAAGGAAGCTGACTCTATACATGCAGAATACCAAGGAACACTAAATTCAGGGTCTCACAGTAGTGGTGTTTAGGAAGGGCAGCCTATTTCTACTATATAATACAGCACAGCATCTTCTAACATAGCCTGGCTTCTGCCTTTATCACCTAATAACTCAGGGAGCAGGTGGAATTCTTTTTGTGGGTTAGATTTGACTCCCAGTTGCCACTAAGATCACTGGGTTTGCAGATGCAGTTTTATTCCATAAGTTAATTCAGCCCACATCAATGTGATAGCCCACATCAAAAGGCTGTGTTTGGGGTTTTTTTGGCTAAAAATGTATGTCAGTTATTTTTTTCTTGGGCTCAATTAAAAATGGGAAGAGGAGATAAACCCTGGCCAGTGATGCAAAGGATCCTAGGTTGAATAGAAATAAGTAAAACTATTTTTAAAGTTGGAAATCTCTGGAAAATGCTCTGAGGGTCTGAATTTCTTTACTTTTCTCTGTGAAGATCTTGGCTTGATATTTGTTATGTTACTTTCAAGAAATGTATTTGTAATTCTTCTGTCGTTTTCTTACCCTGTGTTGCTGACTACCAAGCTTACATATAATCCAAGCTGACTAATTTTTTGTTTTGTAAGAGCTTTGCCGTCTATTTGTATTAAATACCGTGGTCTTAACTTTTGAGCTTAATCTTAAGCAAAGAATTATCTATAAGTCTCTCTTCTATACTGTTCTTACCTTCCTTAGAATTCATTGGCTATAAAACCAATATAAACAAGGAAAAATTTGAATTGCTGGTACCTGTTAGCATTTAGGACTAATCTAAGTTATCTTACGCTCTAAACCCAGTGTTTTCTTTCAAAAACCAAACATGTTACTACAGCACAAGGTACTCCTCTAAGGCTTTTTGTGGTCCTACAGAACATGCAGGTACAGCTGCTGTTCTGAGGTTTAGAGCCTGCCTGTGCACTCTAAGGAAAATGCAGCTTCTTCAGACCAGCTGGTGATTACTTGAACCCAGATACGTGGGGCTGGAAGGAAGGCAGGAGGTATACGTACAGCTAGAGGAGTGTTGTAGGAAGGAGAAGGAAAGAATTAGTAAGTTGCAGGAGGAAAAATAGTGTTTGTGTAGATGAGTTTGAGAGTTTTGGTGTTCCAGGGTGTTTGTTAGAGAACTTTGTCTTCAGCCACTGAAACATGAAATGACATCAAGGACTTCTAAAAGTGGATTGCGCACTTTTTCTAAACCAGGACTGCAGCTGTTCTAGAGTTATAAAAAAGAAAACAAGTCTTTTGGTGGGTAGTCAGCATGATGGCAGACAGTGTATTTATTATAAGTATTATGAAAGATGCTTGGAAATCTGGTTTTGCCAAAAGTCATGGTATGGAAATTATTGTCATTTCACTCCAACTTAATTGCTTTTTTCTTTTGCATACTTTTTTTTTTCCCCCAGAAGAAAAGCTACAAAGTGAAAAAGTTTCAAAAGAGATGAATGAATTTATCAACAAAGAACAGAATAGTAACTCAGCATCACAGGAGGCAAAAGAAATTGAAGCAGATACGGTTCATGAAAAGAAAAGATCTCCAAATGCAATTGCTCCTGATACAGAGCTTAAAAAAGAGGGTAAAGAGAGGACAGGAAGGAGTGGGTCTGGAAGCTCTAGCAGTGGTAGCAGTAGCAGCAATAGCAGAAGCAGTAGCAGCAGCAGCACTGTATCTAGTTCATCCTATAGCTCTAGCTCAGGTAGTAGTCGCAGCTCTTCACGTTCTTCCTCTCCTAAAAGGAAGAAGAGGCACAGTCGCAGTAGGACACCTTCACATAAAGTTAGGCGCAGCAGAAGCAGGAGTTACACCCACAGAAACAGGAGAGAGAGAAGTAGGAGCAGGGAGAAACTAAGGGAAAGGAGAAGATCTAGTAGAAATCACAGTGCTGAAAGAGGGGAGAGGCGAAGAAATCGGACTCCTTCAAGAGAGAGAAGCTGGGATAGACGTAGTAGCCGTTCCAGAGACAGGCGAGCTAACCGTGCAAGCCGTAGCAGAAGCAGGGATAGGCGTAAAGCTGAAGACCAGCGTAGAAGCCCTCCTGGAAATAGACACAAACATAAAAGTGAGGGTAAAGACCAAGAAAGAAAGAAGGAGCAGGGTGGAGCTGTAGATAAGGACAGAAAAAAGAACAGAGAAAGGGAGAAAGAACAGGAAAAAAGAAAAGACAGGTCCAAAAAAGAGGAAAAAGAAAGTAAGGCTGGCAGTCTTGACGACAGTAGATTAAAGAGAAAAAGGGACAGCGAAAGAACTTTCACTCGCGGTGAGTCCATATGTGTGAAAATAATAAGACAGGATTCCAGGCAAGAATGCAAAAGAATTACTACCAAAGATAGCAAAAAACGGTCAGGCTCCGAATCTAGTGCGAGGAGTAGTTCTGAATCGCCAGGAAGCAGCAAAGAAAAGAAAGCTAAGAAATCAAAGCATATTCGGTCATGCTCCATGGAGAAATCTCAAAGGTCTGGTAAGAAGGCAAGCCGCAAACACAAGTCTAAGTCACGATCAAGGTAGTATACTTTTTAAGTATTTTGTCTGACTTTTTACTTTTATTTTTTGATATTCGTCTTCATGTGTACGGCATATGAACTTTTTTAATAAAGTATGGTATTTGTTAATTTTTTTGTCTTAGGCAAAAGTAACTTTGGAAAAATCTTTAAAAACTGTTAATAACTAAAGCCTAAAGTGTGTGTGGGTTTGGGGGTCTTTTATTTTTTCCAATTAACTTTCCCCCCCTTTCCCTTCTATTTTTCAGATCAACGACTCCTCTTCGTCGTAAACGCTGAGGAATTTATGGCACCAGTGCTATGATGTTTAAAAATTCCATGAGTTATAAAGGCTTGTCTCATTATAGAGGCACATTGTGGCTATGTAGGTGAAACCAGAATCCTTTTTTTATCTGTAAATAGGTGTATTTTTTCCAAATGCTGCTCAGAATTAAATACCTAATAGGATTTCTTTGCATTACCTTTTTTTTTTTTTCCTCCCCAAGAACGGTAGTGCTTATTAAGAATATAAACCAGGCCATTCTCTTTCAGCTGTAATGTTCTTAAAATTACTATTGAATGTACTGTGATGTCAATAAAGCTCTTTAGTTCATTTTTTTTTGTTTAAAATTCTTGCACCTGAATTTTGTGTTAAATTGTAGAAGGTACTTTTTTTTTTAAGGAAAAAATATAAGCAAAGAAAAAGGCAGCTTTTTTGGTATAACAGTTTTTAAAGTACTTGAAAAAGATTTTAACATAAACCACTTGTCAGAATATGTAATCCATGGACACGATGAAATTAATCTATTGGGGGGGGAAGAACAAAGCAAAGACATTTTTTCTTTAGACCTGTGTAATAGATTTTTAATAACCTTTTTATTTGAACTAGCAAGTAATATATGCTGTGTGTGTAAAATATGGGTCACTGTAATACAAGCTATACTGAAAGAGACTGAACCCCACTAGGAATATGTGCAACTAACTGATCTTGTGTGACATTGTTAAGCTCTGGAACTATATTCCTCACCCAGTTTTCAGAGAGGACTTTCTGGATGTCCAGGGATATTACAGGAACAAGACTCTATTTTAGATGTTTTTACGGAATATATTTATAAATGGCACTCAGTACACAGTAGAAAACTGACAGTAGGTTAACTTCACATTTTGGCACATGCATTAAATGTGTAGTAAACATTAAAGCTGCTTTTTTTTGTTAGTGTTACGAAAGAGAATTGTGATTCCTGTAAATCACAGTGATGAGACAGCAATGCAACTAAATTTTTCATTTTGACATCACCATAAAGTGAAAAAGGTCACTGATTTTACCTCCTTTTTAGGAAATTAACTGCTGCTGTTAGTAACAGGAGTGTGAAATAATACTAATTAACAAAAAAAGCCACACTGCATAACTCCAGGCCAGTGACTGTTAACAAGGAACATTAATGCAGGAAAAGATTGGGGATCTGTGCCTAGAAGGTCTGGTTATGATACCAACTGTGAAAAAGACAACAGGCTTAACAAAGTAAGATCTCTTTGATGGCTGTATCTTCTGAGAAAAAAAACCTAGTAGTATGGGCAACTTTCTTCATGCTTCAACAAGAAGCATGTCTTCATGAACAGTTTAATCCATTTAACTAAAACTAGAACTCAGTTATGCAGCATTTTTGCCAGTGTAATTTTTTCATAAGTTAGAAGTAAACTGCTTCAGTGCAAAGAATCACATTTTAAATACATGTTTATTAAGCAAGCTAATGGCTGGTGAATACATGATGCATGTTTATGAAAGCTGTTACAGATAAATAATAATAAGTTAATTGGTTATAAATAGCATACCTCCCCCACCCAATTAAGTCATTTTACATAGCATATGCGCTCATACCTGTTAGCAAAATAAGGCACAATTTGCAGCACACGCCTTTTAATTGCATTGGTGTGGATATAAGTAACGATGCATTAATCCATTTGCAGTACATGATTTACTCTTGGTAAAAGGGAGAGTTTTATGAGAACTAGGTAGCATAACAGATGCCTTGGAAGGATGTCTCTTGAGGGCAGGAATTAAGTTTAAGAAAAGCTATTGAGGAATACAGTTTCCATGGTGCATTGAATTTGATTTTCAGTTCAGATTTTATATTCTCTGTCTAATAATAAAAAAGATTGTGTATGGAAAGCTTTATATACTCTGCCAACAACTGGAATTCTGTCACTTCCTGTAAATATAAGAATTATTTTTTGACACTAATGCACTTATATGGGTAGTGAGTGTATGCCAATAAAAAGAGCATACGATCTCTGTATTTAACTGTTTCAGAAATCTTCCTGAACAGCATACTCAGCACACCAGTAATTAAAAATACATCAGTGCTATGTCAGTTTCACCTACATTAGAATTCTTTGTGGATTAGTAACTCCCTTCTGACTGTTTTTCAGTGGTAAAGCTAACATGACATCTGGTCTAATTCCACACATGTAAAGTGTTCCTACATTCAAACATGCAAATATTACACAATGGGAATGTATCATTTTGGAAAAATATGAATTCGGCTGCTGCTCTGTTCTTTTTCTTTTTGAAATAAACCCTGCAAAAACCATTTTGGTGTGCTGCAGGAGAGCAGGGCATACAAGTTTGTATGGCACACAGCAGCATGACAGTTGCAGGCACTTCCCTTGAAAAATTGTTTTAATAAGTAACGGATGGTGTGGAATTGAGTAAAAAATGGTTTCCATGCAAATTGTCCTGAAGATGAATACAGCAAACCCAATGTGAGCAAACCCCAAGGCACCCATTGCGCCATCTATGAACAGGAACCGGCTGTGGCCATGGACAGGCTATTCGGGTAAAATATTCCAGCTTTTAAAGATTGAGCAACTACATGCTTTTTGAAATACGGGATAATTGGGGGTTTGGGGGGGAAAATCTGTTGTCATTTGTGTCTTTGAGGAGAGACTGTGTCCTGTGGGAGAGATTGGTGCCCAGGCTCCTGCTCTTAATTACAGTTACCTTAGAAGTCTGTTTAGTAACAGAAAAATGGAATAGCTGTCCCCAGTTTAAAACCAGCTTATCCTATTAAGTAAAATACTTGCCATTGTGCATGCATTTAATTGCTTGTTACTAAATTTTTAGAAGACACAAATATAAAAGCAATGGCAACAGAAGGATTGGCTCTCTCTAGGTTTTACATTTGCTGTGCTAAATAAATGGCAAGTAATAAATTAATCTGCATAAATAATATGCAGAAGCACACTTGAAAGAAGGGTTAGTTTTGTGTCTTAAAGAGACTGTGTGTCTCAGCATAAAGGACTTCTTTGAGCTTTTTCCAGTAGCTCTGAGGTGTCATTCATGACTCCTAAGTCCACTGCAGTGTAAACTTTGCTGCATGGGAGGTAGGTGCATAGTGAAGCGATGCACACACATAGTGAGCAGCTTTGCCATGTATTTATTTGCTGCTGAGACCAGGTCTTTTGAGACCTTTCAGCAGTCCTTAATTAGCTTTAAAAAAAGTAAATCCGAACATTACCTAGTAGATGAATTGCCCTGTATTTGCAGGAGACCTGGCAGTGGGCAGATTGCAAGCAGCGAGGGTTGGTGCACTGAGCAAGGTCAGTTAATGAAACACCCAGGTTTTGGATAGAGGTTGTACCGTTCCAGACCTGCTGCTGGGTGGTTTGTGCAGGCCATGCTCCCGCCTGTGGCTGCCAACATCCATCCGCAAGGCTGGACAGGGAACCGGGCTACTGCAGTCATCTGCGTGGAAAGCATGGGAGCACTGCCAGCTCCTGCCTTCATGGCTGGTCCTTGCCTTTCTCCACACCCCTCCCTTCCTGACAGCTTGGATTTTCATGGGACTTCTTCATGAGACCTGTGACTGAATAAAGTGTCAGAAAACGATTCTTTTAAAAAACTGCCTGAATTCTTTACCATTTAAGCGTGTTAAACTAGCTCACCATGTGGATTGGAAAAGGCGAAAGCCTGCCAAGGGGAGGCAGGAGGAGAAGAAGGGCTCCTGTGTGTCAGCTCCGACAGCCACTCAAAGGGCCATGCAGATTCAAACCCTCAGCTGAACCTCTGTGCAGGGCCCTGGGCAGCCGTGCCAGGGCAAGGGATGGGGAGGGGAAGGCAGCCTTGTGCTTTGCCTTGTGCTTTGCCTGCACACTGTGACAGGGCAGCCTCTGCAACAGGCAGGAGCAACACGGTTCGGGAATTTCCCAGGCACCCAGGGGGCTGTCTCAAGCTTGGCCGTGTTGGAGGCTCAAGAGCTCTGCTTCCAGCCGTGGATACGGAGTGCAGGCTATTGAGGATCGCTCCTCCCCGTGTCTCCCCTCTCCCAGAAGTGAGGTGTCTTGTAATCCGGGCCTTCCCCTGCAAGTCCAGTGTGTTACCTGGTGGTACAAGAGACTGAAAGCTAATGGCTGTCTCATGGCAACATGGCTCTCCTAAAGAAGTGCTTCCTTGTCCCAGGACATGCAAGGATCAGGTCCACACGCAGGAGTAAGGGGACATACATAAAACGGCTGTGAATTTTGAGCGGGGTGCCCGGGTGAACCCCTGCTTATGCAAGCCATGGTGCACTGCAAGTTGGCATGGGCTGCGTAGGAAGCGCTCCCGGCTGCTCCATCAGCAGTGGTGCCACGCAACAGTGCTTCACTGTTGTGAAGGGAAAGGTAAAAACAGTGTTTTCACGTCTCTTGTACCACATCTTCAGCTGAAGTATATATATATATACACACACACATAAATACATACTAGCAAGCATGATTAAGTGCTTGTAATGGTCTGTCTAGCGTTTTGCTCTGCTTCCCTTGCATTTTATAAAATATTAATAAAAATACAGTAATAAATAATAATCTCTAAATAGATTTGTAACACATTCTGACCGCCTGCGGTACCTCACAACACCTAAGGCCGCAGCAGGCGCTGCCCGGGGCGGCGGCCGGACACTACCACGGACAAAGGCAGCACTGCCGGGCTGCGACGACTGACGGCAGGACCGGGCCCGGCCGGGCCGGGTTCCGCGCCGGGCGGAACCAACCTTCCCGGCGCCCGGCCCGGCAGGCAGCCGGCACCGTGTCGCCGCCGTACGCCCGGCGCCGGCAGGGGAGCGGGGCGGGGCGACCACGGCGGCGGCGGGGGCCTCGGCGATGTGGGGCGGCGGTGGGGCGGCCCGCGCCTTCACCCGCACCGTGGGGCGCCGGCGGGCAGTGGGCGGTGAGCAGGAGGGCGCAGAGGGCGCGGGTGGGAGGGCCCCGGCGCGGTGCCCGCGGGGCCTGGCTGGTCCCCGTACCCCGCCCCGCGGCCGAGGTGGCCTAGCGGGGAATCGCTTCTCCGGCTGCCTCACTGCAGGGCGCCGTAAGCCACCCATCGGCTTCCACCTGGCCTTTGCTTCTGGCAGTTCCCGGGGGGCGTACCCGTGGCCTAGGCTCGGCGTTGCGGCCGCGGCCTGCCCCCGCTCGGGTGCGCTGGGCTGGGGCATGGCTGATCCTTTGCGCGGCAGAGCCGGGAGCCCGCCCGGGCGCACCGCGTTCATGCCGGTGATGAGCCACTCGTGCTGGCAGTGCCACGCCAGGCTAACGCCGGCCTGTGGGGCCTGGTGCGGTAGGGACTGGTGGGCTCCA